TGAAGCAGAGTTGTGAAGAATGTGGAGCAAATCACAGTACTGCTACTTGCCCAATTCTGGCACAAGAAGTAGAACATGCAGAATTCGCACAATGGGGTCAGCGCCAGCAGAATAACCCACATTCAGAAACCTTCAATCAAGGCTGGAGAAACACCCAAATTTCTCTTGGAGCAACCAGAATCAAAATAGACCACAAGGGTAATATCAGCAGTGAGACAAAAAACCAAATTTGGAGGATATGTTCGAGAAATTTATGGCACACACCAATCAGTACATGGAAGCCAATAACTAATTTATGCGAAGGACGAAAACAACGCTTCAAGATCAAAGTGCAGCGATCAAGAACTTGGAGACACAAGTGGGACAGATAGCAATTTCCATGACGGGTGGAGCACCGGGAAACCTACCCAGCAATACTGAAGTTAACCCTAAGGAACATGCAAAGGCTATAACAACCAGAAGTAGAGTACAACTACCGGAACCACATGTAACAAGTTCGGGAGCCAACAAGGAATCAATGCCAACCTTGGAGGAAGAAAGTGTGGAGCAAACTGACAATCCAATGGGAGATGAGGTTAAGAGGAATTCCAAGACATCACAGGGTAAAAATACTAATCATGTTAACCCTCATGAGCCTCCTATTCCGTTTCCACAAAGGTTGAGAAAACACAAAATGGATCAGCAATACAGTAAGTTCCTTGAAGTTTTCAAGAAACTGCATATCAACATCCCATTTGCTGAAGCACTTGTCCAGATGCCGAGCTATGCAAAATTCTTGAAGGATATCCTCTCCAACAAGCGAAAGATAGAAGAACACGAAACAGTAATGTTGACCGAGGAATGTAGCGCCAGAATCCAGAGAAAGCTACCCCCAAAACTGAAAGATCCAGGGAGTTTTACTGTACCCTGCACTATTGGAGACTGTTATTTTGATAAAGCTTTGTGTGATTTGGATGCAAGTATTAATCTAATGCCTCTTTCTGTTTTCAGGAAACTCGACTTGGGAGAGGCAAAAGCCACAACAGTGACATTGTAGTTAGCAGATCGATCCCTTACACATTCAAGAGGAATCATTGAAGACGTGCTGGTAAAAGTGGAGAAGTTCATATTTCCAGCTGATTTTCTTATCTTGGACATGGAAGAAGATAAAGATGTTCCACTCATTTTGGGGCGACCTTTCTTAGCCACTGGGAGAGCAATTGTAGATGTTTAGAAGGGGCAGCTGATATTAAGGCTTGGTGACGAGCAAATCTCATTCAACATGTTCAAAGCAATGAAATTCCCTACTGAGGCAGACAGTTGTTTCCAAATCGATGTAGTCGACCGAATAGTTCAAGACACATTTCAGCTACATCATCCTTCCGATGCATATGTGGCATGCATTACACATTCACAATCTACCCATTCTGAATCAAGTGAGATTGAGACATGTGCTCGATTTTTGGAGAGTAACCAGCCATATATGCGCAGACGCTACTATGAAGAGCTGGGAACTAGAACTGCAAAATCAGTGCCATCTATTGTGAAACCGCCCAAATTGGAACTCAAACAACTGCCACCACATCTTCGATATGCGTACCTGGGGGAATCTTCTACACTACCTGTTATTATTTCAAGCGCTGTCAGTGAGGTAGAGGAAGAAAAACTACTTCGGGTGTTAAGGGAGAATAAAACAGCTATTGGATGGTCGATTGCAGATATAAAGGGGATCAGCCCATCTATATGCATGCATAAGATACTCATGGAGGAAAAATTTAAACCAAGCATTGATGGACAGCGGAGATTGAATCCACACATGAAGGAAGTGGTTAGAGCTGAGGTATTGAAGTTGCTCGATGCAGGCATTATTTATCCAATATCAGATAGTGCATGGATTAGTGCAGTGCAAGTTGTTCCCAAGAAAGGTTGAATCACAGTGATAGAAAATGAGATAAATGAGTTGATTCCTACACGGACAGTGACCGGATGGAGAGTGTGCATTGACTACCGTAAGCTTAACTCAGCTACTTGAAAGGATCACTTTCCATTACCGTTCATTGATCAGATGTTGGAGAGATTAGTAGGGCATTAGCACTACTGTTTCCTAGATGGGTACTCCAAGTATAATCAGATTCCAGTGGCACCAGACGATCAGGAGAAGACCACTTTCACTTGCCCCTATGGCACCTTTGCATACAGAAGGATGCCTTTTGGATTATGCAACGCTCCCGCTACCTTTCAGCGCTGCATGATGGCTATTTTCTCAGACATGATTGAGAAATTCATCGAGGTATTCATGGATGACTTCTTTGTGTTTGGATCTTCATTTGATGAGTGCCTGGAGCATCTAAGTCTTGTGCTACAACGGTGTACAGAGACCAACTTGGTGTTGAATTGGGAGAAATGTCACTTTATGGTGCAAGAAGGCATCGTACTAGGGCACAAAATTTCAGCAAAGGGTATTGAAGTGGACAGGACAAAGATTCAGGTGATCGAGAATCTACCACCACCTACCTCAGTGAAGGGTGTTCACAGTTTTCTTGGGCACGCTGGATTCTACAGAAGGCTTATCAAGGATTTTTCAAAAATTACCAAACCTCTATGCTGTTTACTGATGAAGGAGTCCACATTTGAGTTTAATGATGAGTGTCTGCAGGCCTTTAACACTTTGAAAGAGAAGTTGACTTCAGCACCTGTAATTATCATACTGGATTAGAATCTGCCATTTGAATTAATGTGTGACGCCAGTGATTATGCTGTGGGAGCCGTGTTGGGTCAACGAAGGAATAAGTTATTTCACGTGATCTACTATGCAAGTAAGACTTTGAACGATGCTCAGTTAAATTATGCCACTACGGAGAAAGAGCTTCTTGCTATAGTCTATGCGTTTGACAAATTTCGATCATACCTTGTGGGGTCGAAGGTCATAGTCTACACAGATCATGCTGCCATCAGATACTTGATGGAGAAGAAGGATGCTAAGCCACGCCTCATCTGTTGGATATTTCTACTTCAAGAGTTTGACCTGGAAATCAAGGATAAGAAAGGCAGTGAAAACATGGTAGCAGACCACCTATCTCGGCTTGAGGACACAGAACAGGAAGAGACAGTGGAAATAAACGAGATCTTCCCAGATGAGCAGATTTTTGGTGTGATGGAAACACCCTGGTATGCAGATATAGTTAACTATCTAGCCAGGTCTATCATACCGCCAGATTACTCAAGTCACCAGAAGAAGAAATTCTTCGCAGAATTGAAGTACTACTTTTGGGAAGACCCCATTCTCTACAGGCGGGGGGCTGATCAAATCGTTCGGCGTTGTGTACCAGAGGAAGAGGTGCCTTTGATATTAGAGAACTGTCACTCATCTATATATGCAGGGCATTTTGGTACTTCTAAGACAGCGGCGAAAATTCTCCAATCAGGTTTTTACTGGCCCACACTCTTTAAGGACGCGTTTGAGTTTGTAAAGAGGTGTGACCGATGTCAGCGCATGGGTAACATCTCTAGAAGAAATGAGATGCCTTTGAGTAGTATCTTGGAGGTGGAATCATTTGACGTCTAGAGGATCGATTTCATGGGGCAATTCCCACCATCTTTCTCAAATCAATACATTTTAGTGGCGGTGGACTATGTTTCGAAGTGGGTTGAAGCGGTTGCATTGCCTACAAATGATGGGAAAGTGGTGATTGAGTTTTTGAAGAAGAATATTTTCACCCGGTTTGGGACACCGAGAGCCATAATCAGTGACGGGGGCACACATTTCTGCAATCGTCAGTTTGAGCAGTTGTTATCAAAATATGGCGTCAAGCATCGCATAGCCACCGCATATCATCCCCAAACCAGCGGACAGGACGAAGTATCCAATAGGCAATTGAAGCATATTCTGGAAGTCACAGTTAACTCATCACGAAAGGATTGGTCAAAGAAACTGGATGATGCCTTGTGGGCCTACAGGACTGCATTCAAGACTCCTATAGGAATGTCTCCATATCGACTGGTTTTTGGGAAAGCATGACATCTACCTCTCGAGATCGAACATCATGCTTACTGGGCAATGAAGAAGTTGAACTTGGATTTGAAGGCTGTAGGTGAAAAACGACTGTTACAACTGAATGAACTTGATGAACTCAGAATGGAAGCCTATGAGAACTCAAAGATCTACAAAGAGCGCACCAAAAAATGGTATGACATGCATATCCAGAGGCGTGACTTTAAGGTGGGGCAGAAAGGCTACTCTACAACTCCAGGCTTAAACTGTTTCCAGGAAAATTGAGATCGAGATGGTCTGGTTCATATACCATTACACAAGTATTTCCACATGGGACAATTGAGATCACTCACGACAGCAAGGGGACATTTAAAGTCAATGGACAGCGGTTGAAGCACTACTGGGGCGGTGATTTCTCAAAGGACAAGTCTACCGTCCAACTTGGATCACCAGAATGATGCATTACGGTAAAGTCGAGCTATCGACTATAACATAGCGCTGAGTGGGAGGCAACCCACTGTATCCTTTATTTTATTTTATTGCACTGCATTCGTTTAGGAATTTGTTTGATTTTAGTTTGTTTCGTAGGTCATCGATCATATTTTGCATGATAGCCTAGGCCCTACACGTTTAATGTTGCATGAATGGGTGCTAAATGAAGTGTTTGGGTGTTCGAGTGTGTGTCACGCATTCCGATGTGCGAAGATGTTCATTTTGGTTAAGCTTTCAGAATGCGGGACAACATTTATGAAAAATCGATTTTAGTACCAAGTTTTGATAAGCATATTCCTCTTTTGGAGTCAAATTTTTAAGTGAAAAACCGATTTTGGGGGAGTTTAAATTTTAAGTTATTAAAAAAAATTTTTGTTGAAACCCGGTTTGGTCTATGCGGTCGCATAGACCTCAACCGAAATACCAAGGGGGCAAAGTGTTTGC